ACACATGCTGTTACGGCTGTTGTATTGGGAGAGCGAAGAAGGTATTTCGATTTTGCTATGGTATTACAAATGAATCACACCTTTTCTGAATCATGTCGGTTCAATGTCTCTAGAATACCCTGGTCAACTTAGTTGGACGATCCCTAAAACCCGTACCCACAGCGAACTTGATGTTGACATTAGAGTGATTGATCACTTTTTGATCAACCCTCTGGACCACAATGGAAAAGCACCGGCCGAACTGACCAAGAGGAAACGTAAGCGGCGCACGAGACAGCCTTCATTGACGGCGGAAGAATTGGCGTTGGATGATACCAGCGACGAAGTAAAAACTACTAAGCAAACTTCTGGGAAGCCCAGAAAACCGCCAGTAATGCCACAGTATCGCTCAGCCGAGGTGAGATCGTTCTTCTTTGCTTTTCGATAGGAAGTCCGACTGACTGAAATCCATGCTGATCTCTTTTCACAGTTTATTACACTTTCGGACGATGAAGAGGATGAAGAGCGTGACAGATTATTCTTTGAGCGAGAGTTCGTACCTTCATGTCTTCATATTTTAATACTGTCTGCTTTGAGGGGGAGGTGGTCGGCATTTAATACAGGTGATATTTGTTCTATGGCTCCAGGAGGAAGTGGAGAGCTCAAATCAGTGGGAAAACCACCTCAGTACCGTACAAAAAACCACGACCTACGATAAAGGTAACGAAGAAGGCTATGACTGATCCTATTGGTATCCCGATGGATATTGGCGAGCAGATGCAAGACGGGGATAGATCATTGACATCAACTTCGGGCGATGGTAGTGAAAGTGATCGAAACAGGGGTCTGCGAACGACAACCAGTCCGCCACATTCATCCCCCCCATCTTTCGAATCCCCTAATCCATCCGCCGAGGTGGTTGGCTTGAAACGTGATGCCGCAATGATCGACGCGCAAGACGATGATGGGAATGAAGAGGATGGAATATCGGGAGTCAAAAGGAAGCCCGTCAAATCAAGGAAACTCTTCATTGAAGACAGTGACGAGGAATCCTAAAGGCCCCACTTTTCTTCTTGGGAATCGTCATTCAATTGTAATTATCAGCCTTGCATCCAATTTATAGCTTTACTTGAATCAATGCGTTGTAGGAATTCCATTGCACCTTTTTGTTGCACACACCTACCTTTTATCATACCACCCACCACGTTAGCAATGCTGCTTCACGTTGTAGAGTTTGCAAATCTTTTTTATACGAACCATAGTAGCTCCCACGCAACATAATTGTAGTCACAGGCAAACAGGGAGGATGGCTTTGGTCTATCAGAAACTCAGCCGATGAGCATCTTGGCATGTCTAGGTTGCTGGGTGTGCCGTCTGTCCATCTCCCCCAATGAAGCTTGTGGTGCTATGGCCGGCCAACCTTCCCGATTGTCATGCCATATACACTTCACGTCTCAGCTTCTGTCGAGTCTCAAGAGCCCAAGAATTAAGGTGGACAACGCCCGCCAGTCTGTACCGATTTATGAGATGATCAAGATATTCCTGCCTCACAATTGGCTTTTCCTAGCTGCTCTTTCACTGTGTACTACATTGTCAAAGTCACTGGGGCTTCTCTATCGTCCCAAGCTCCTTGCAGTTCTATTTGATATTTCAAGTGCGCAATGCCCCAGGCCAAATTACACTGAGAAAGATCTGGTTCATTTCGCTCAGATGACGGGTCCTATCACCATACACAGCTGAGTTCAACCAGCTAATGCTGTCACTTGCCAATCCTTCTGTTGTGTAGCTGCCTTTGAAGAGTGTGTTCCTGATTGTCCTGCGAATAATCCTGGGGTGGTCCACTTCGAAATTCGTGCCCCTATGCCCAAGATAGAATCCTTCTTCTCAGACTCTCAAGGTATTTATCAGGATCGCTCTTGGCTCTTCCCTCGACTCTGCTTATCGCGATTATTCTCATCTTCCCTTTCTCGAGACTCACCCTGGTGGTATAATATCCACTTATCCTGTCAAATATTTTCTCCAATAACGCAGCCCTAGCGGCCTATCGGTGTGGCAATAACCACTTTCTCCAAGCTCCTCTTAGTGCTCTCCCCTACAAAACCAAGCTTCCAAATCCTCCTCTTTCAAGCAAATCAAATCTCATGGAATACTCTTCGCAATTGCCAGCTGGTCACGGACACAATCATCCTTCAGTCCATCACGCATCAAGGCAGCTTCTATCACGCCCTGAAGTTCAAGTCGCATCAGCATCTTTTGAGCCTATTATTCCAGCCAGTAATGCTATTGCCGCTCCAGTTGTTCCCAGGCCTCCAACTGCCTTGGTCCCCGCTGCAGAAGCTCGTGCAGTTCCGTCAGCTCCACTTCCCGTCCCTCTTCCAGTGACATCGCCAACCAACACTGTGCCTGTTTTGACTCATGTGGTGACACCCACCCCCGTCGTCAAGATTGCGAGTGTGGCCCAGCCCACCGCGACTTCCGTCAGCTCCGCCAAAACAAACCTCCCCCAGCCTTCGTGCTCACCCGGAATACCATGCGCGTCAATGGCTGTAAAATCGCCGCCGCTCGTATCCGCGCTGCCTCAGCAGACTCAAGCTCCTCAACAATTCCTCGCAAGTCTCAGCTCCAACCCTGCGGCTATATTCTTCACATGTTTGGCCGGAATTGCTCTTGTCGGCGTTATGCTTGCCATTCTCAGTTGTGCACTGAGAAGCTGGTGTAACAGAAGACGCCGAAATACTCTTGATGAAGACGCGTGGCGGTTCCTGGAGGTACGTTCACGTCGCGCTTGCTCCATTTTTCTTCTGCCGGTGGTTTGCTTAACCCCTCCTGTTTTATTCTTGTTGCAGAACTCGAGGGATTTCGCGGACCCTATGAAGGAGGACGATGAGGAAACTTCGATGAAAAGCTCTCAATTTCGAAGCGATTCGCAGTCTAGCCTGGCACATCTCCAACCCACGCTTGCAAAGAACTACATGGCAACGAATCCATTTCCATCCCATACGCAACAGCAAGCCCAGCAGCCAGTACCCCAACATCGTTTTGCCCCTTTTCAGACGCAAGATGAACAGCACATGAATGGGTTTATTGACGAGAAAGGGTTGGGCTGGATTGCCCCTCCCGTTCCCGTCTCATCACAATATAGCGGAGTGTTGTTCACGCCGGGTGGACCTACTCCAGAGTTAATGGAAAGCTACCAGAGAGGATGTACTATACCCGAGCTTGTTTATAGGAAAGCCTCGCTTGCGGGGAGCTTTTGTAATCGAGCAACCATGTACGCTTCTCCGACCCAGGCCCCCGTTCCGGCATTCACGCGTCCAGCCTCAGTTATCACTCGTTCCAGCACCACCACCACGACTCCCGACCTACAAAACAGGCTGAATTCATTGACACGTGAAGCTAGCCTTGCATGTTCGGACCACTCCACTACTGTAGAAGAGCTCAGGGAGCGAGTGACGGACCAGCATACCGATCTTCGTGCCACCCTCAGGGGCGCAATCCAAAAGGACAAGAAGGCAGACGACGATCTGCTCGAGTCGTTGATATCTCTTTGGCACGATAAGACCACAGAAGCCCAAAAAGCTTCCATCCTGCTCCAAACGCCTCAGCTTCCCCCCACGAACCAGGCATGAGAATGGGGACATTGGACCCGGCCCATCAGCTCAGCAAAATAAAAATAAAAATCGGTTCTCTCTGCTTCTCATGAAACATCGGTTGACTACACTCGCACTATTATCACTGGACGGACCGCGGCGGTCGAAACACCACACGAGTGCGCTGTAGGCGACGGAGACTAATTCACCAATCCCGGCTCGATTTATTCTCAACACTGTGCCAGCTTCCGTAAAAATCCTGTTGTGATCGTCTCCAATGGGCCTCTCGTCGTGGTGCTGCGCTAGACACGCTCCTCATATGCACTCTAATAATCTCTTCAAATCTCTTGTGGCCTGTCTTGAAATTCTGTTCTTCGTTTCCCCTCCCTTAATCTTAAATCTACGCTCGGGTAGCAGCTTCAATCATGTACTTACATTACATTAGTTCTGTTGTAGTATATTGCCAAAAAATCGTGCTTCCATTCCCTTCTTCTCTTCTCTTGCGCTTCTTTTTTCCTCTCATCATAGGCAAGCAAAAATTCACGTTTGCAATATGATACTGTTGCAGCCCACAAAAACTAGCTGATTAAGCCTGCAGTACACAGAAACACACTTGTGTGTCATCTATACCACAGAGCAACCTCACTTGAGGCCCAGTGTTTGCGTGTTATTGCAGGTCCTTATAGTCTGTGCGGAAGGGCTCACCTGGATAATCTGGGAACACTTCGAATCACGCTTCAGAAACAAGCTTTTTTTGTAGTATGTAGAGCTAGAACTTTGAGATGTGTGATTTTTCGCCTATCTTGATTTTTATCTTTGATGGAGATACATCCTTTTCAGATCTGTAAAAAACATGGAAACATAGATTAGAACAGCAATTCTTATGATTAATTAAACTTAAAATACACATAAAAAATTAAACATTTATAACAGATCAGAATTGAATTCTCTTAAAGGCTGAACTTTCCTAGGGAAAGGTGAAAAATGTTGAACTGGCTCTGGAGAGCCCTGGTATAGTCTCAGTTTGCTCCGCCAGGAATTTTCAAAATAATTTTCTGTTTAATTTTCATGATTTTAGAATTTGGCAAACCTTTTTCACACACCATCTGTGTTATAGGGTGATACCATGCGTGAAACTCTGAAAATAACATGTGTCTTGCGGGAATGATACCCACATCTTTTATGTAAATGTCAAGTGTCTAAACACTGTAATAAGTACGCTCGGAGATGAATGACTGTGGCTGGGTGAATCAATGCTACCGGTGTGTATTGAAAACCCATTTGAAGTGTGAAAGCCTGTTATTTACAGATGATAATGTTAAAGCCACCAGCAGTTATGAGAAAGCCTTGAGAGGCAGAACCACAATCCAACACCATGATGTATCACCACACTGTTTTTTTTGACCAATGAAGACTGCTTTGCAGCCACGAGTGTCTGTAGGCTAGTTGGCAAAGTCATGAATCTATTATCAGTCTGACTTCTATGCTGAATTCATGGGTTTGAATCCCATCAGAAACATCTCTGTTTTGAAATTCTCTGTTAGAGACAACTAACAAACATAATAATAGATAAATAGCCAGGGAATGTCAGCTGGCTTCTATGTTAGAGCCAACTAACAAACATAATGATAAATAAATCACCATAAAAATCTCACTATAAAGAAAAATATTGTTTTATTACTCATCTAAAAAGTAAGAAGCACATTAAAAAACATATGCAATATATGTATATATATACATATATTTTTATGTAAAAAGAAAACACAAATTAAAAAATATACACAAATATATATATATGTATATATGTTTTGTGCTTCATTTTCTAATAGAATATATGTAATAGATAATAAATGACCTCAAAAGTCCAAGAAAACTTGTCAAAGATCACCTATGAATCATATTAGACAGGTTGTAGCAGTTGTAACACGTGTAGAAGCTAAGGTGAGACAAGTTGTAACACATGTAGAAGCTAAGGTGAGACATCTGGATTCCCAAAAAGACCAATCCAGCGTCATAACAACCAATTGGGATCTAATACTAAGCCCAAATAACTACTAAAAAGCTTTTTTCAAAATAAGATAAGCACATAGAAACAGCAGAAATCCCCTACTGGAACCAAAGTGGCAGAAAGGCTTGCCTGAAACCTGGAAACATATAACCAGGAATAATAATTTGGTCCATAGTAACATTAGAATAAGCTAGACTACAACCAACCATAAGGAATAAAGAACTGTACATATCACAACCAGGCATAACCATGAGCTAAGAGGCTTAAACTAGACCATAAAGGGTGAAAACCTGGCTAGGCACTAGTAATACCTGGTCCCACAACACATCCAAGCCAGGCTTACCAAGCCAAAGAAAGGGACTTGTAAAAACTTCAACTGCCAAGAATGTCCACAGAATTAATATATAAGCAGGCCATCCTTTCCCCATAATTAAGTCCCCACCTTCATACAATTTGCCCAGAAATCAGCACTGTTCAGTTCTACCTGTTATCAACCAGCCATCAAATAAAAATTCCTCATTTCTACTCTTCTGAATCTCCCCTGCAACACCCTTCAACCTTTTGTTGGAGAAGTTCCTTTACTAGTGATTAAATAATACTTCTCCGAAATCTCCACATTTTCTCTTCTACTGGGATCAGAATGAACCCTGTCCAACAGGCCCCAGTTCTTTTTTTGAAAGGTAACTAATTCCTCTGCACTCGTGGCAATACAACTTTGAGAGGGATCCAAACCACCCCTGTTTAGCAGGCCCCTCTGGAAAATTAATAATGTGATATTTTTAATCTTATTATTTTTTGATCTTTGACCTGCGACCAGGATGGTATGGTATTACTGTGTGTTACAGCGTTGGAGGAGCAAAAGGAGGGGATAGTAGAGGTAAGAGGGGGGAGGAAGGAAGTATGGGAGGAGAGGCCCAGACCCCCAA